TTGTGTGCGTGCGTGCGTGCGTGCGTGCCTCCTTGTGTGTGCGCTTGCGTGCGCGAGTGCGTGCGTGCGTGCGTGCGTGTGGGTGTGGGTGTGGGTGTGGGTGTGGGTGTGGGTGTGGGTGTGGGTGTGGGTGTGGGTGAGGGTGTGTGTGTGTGTGCGTGTGCGTGTGCGTGTGCGTGTGCGTGTGCGTGTGCGTGTGCGTGTGCGTGTGCGTGCGTGCGTGTGGGTGTGGGTGTGGGTGTGGTGTGTGAGTGTGTGTGGGTGTGGGGTGTGGTGTGTGTGTGTGTGTGTGTGTGTGTGTGTGTGTGTGTGTGTGTGTGTGTGTGTGTGTGTGTGTGTGTGTGTGTGTGTGTGTGTGTGTGTGTGTGTGTGTGTGTGTGGTGTGTGTGCGTGTGTGCGTGTGTGCGTGTGTGCGTGTGTGCGTGTGTGTGCGCGTGTGCGTGTGTGCGTGTGTGCGTGTGCGTGTGTGCGTGTGTGTGTGTGCGTGTGTGCGTGTGTGCGTGTGTGCGTGTGTGCGTGTGTGCGTGTGTGTGTGTGTGTGTGTGTGTGTGTGTGTGTGTGTGTGTGTGTGTGTGTGTGTGTGTGTGTGTGTGTGTGTGTGTGTGTGTGTGTGTGTGTGTGTGTGTGTGTGTGTGTGTGTGTGTGTGTGTGTGTGTGTGTGTGTGTGTGTGTGTGTGTGTGTGTTTGTTTGTTTGTTTGTTTGTTTGTTTGTTTGTTTGTTTGTTTGTTTGTGTGTGGGTGTGTGTGGGTGTGGGTGTGGGTGTGGGTGTGGGTGTGCGTGTGCGTGTGCGTGTGCGTGTGCGTGTGCGTGTGTGTGTGTGCGCGTGTGTGTGCGTGTGTGCCTTTCGCATGCAACACCCAGCTGCCGCATGTCTCAACTCTTGCCACGAAAGAGTTTACCTTTGATTCGGGGGGCCGGATTGAATCGGGGCGCCGCAGCATGGGTTGCTGCATCGCTGGTTGAACTGGGTTGAAAATGGCTTTGGGCAATGGTTGTTACGCCCTTTGCAGCAGTGAGAAAAAGGAAGCCTGGCTCCTCTACAAGGTACCCAGTCCAAACCTTCCAGGTACCCAGTTGAATCCCCCAGGGTACCTTTCACAAACTCAGGTACCCTTAAAGGCTTAAAATGGGTACTCCCAGGGTTTAAAACGGGTACGTGAAGGTGGCCGCGTGTGGCTTGGGGCGAGTGCCAAACTACCCCCTCCAACAGTCCATGTTTTTGGAAGTTTGACCCAGTCCTTACACCTGTGAAATGCCTTTGAATAAACCCCTGTTACTGCCTCGCAACGACGCCCCGATTCAATTCGACGCCCCGAATCAAAGGAAAAATCTTCCACGGCAAGTCAAAGCAAATAATCGACATGTGTGCGTCACACTTGCGCACGTGTGCTACCGCGGATATCTGCAAATTTTGCCCTTCTGTGACTGATAAGCTTCGGTGCTGCGAGCTCTGTGCGCTTGCGCGCGTGCATGTGCGTGTGTGCTGGCGCGGCTTGCGCGCGTGCATGTGTGTGTGTGTTTGTTCCAGCGCGGGTATCTGAAAAAGTTTGCCCTTCTGTGACTTATAAGCTTTGATGTTGCGAGCTCTGTGCGCTTGCGCGCGTGCGTGCGCGCGTGCTACTGCGGATATCTAGAAAGCTTGCCCCTCTGTGGCTGATAAGCTTCGGTGTTGCGAGCTCTATACAAGTGTTGCTCTGCGCAAGGTTGCTCTGCGGGCGCAAGTGCTCTAAGCAAGTTGCGATGCGGAAGCGCTACGCAAAAGTATGCTGCGCAAGCTCGGGACAAATTTCTATGAGCAAGTTCTCCGAGCAAGTTCTCTGCGTGCAGCGCTGACCGCAACATGGCAACCTTTCGATTTGAGCCGAGCTACGAATGTACCCTTTGTTAGCCACTTTCGCGCTGCTGACTTTCTAACTTACAGGCCGCGGAGACCAAGCAGGATTCGAGCCCGGGGCCGGTCACTGCCAAGAGCAGGCGCGTAACCACGAGGCAAACTCTCAAGCCCGCGCTCCGACTTGAAAAAGTAGCATTTTACTAGCATTTCGTGCGACCCACCACGCCAATCCTTGCAGAGGGTCGCGCGGGCAAGTCCGCAGTTTTTGCACATCGACCACGCCAATCCCCGCAGAGGGTCGCGCGGGCAAGTCAGAAATCAAAAAAAGTCCGCAGTTTTTTGCACATCGACCACGCCAATCCACGCAGAGGGTCCCAGTTTTTGGACATCGACCACGCCAACCCACGCAGAGGGTCGCGCGCGCAGATCAGAAATCGTAAAAAGTCCGCAGTTTTTGCACATTGACCACGCCAATCCCCGCAGAGGGTCGTGCGGGCAAATCAGAAATCGTAACAAGTCCGCAGTTTTTGGACATCGACCACGCCAATCCCCGCAGAGGGTGTCTTTTTCGCAGGGTGGGTTCGGTCCCACCGCGCCGCCTTAAGAGACTAATTAATTGTGTCCAAATGTCTCGTGCAAGTTTGGCTGTGTGATATCTCGTGCAAGTTGTTCTCGTGCAGGTTGGCTCGTGTAAGTTGGCTCGTGCAAGTTGACTCATGCAAGTTGGCTCGGGCAAGTTGGCTCGCGCAAGTTGGCTCGTGCAAGTTGGCTCGTGTAAGTTGGCTGTGCAACAAGTTGGCTCGAGCAAGTTGGCTCGTGCAAGTTGGCTCTTGTAAGTAGGCTGTGCAAGTTGGCAAGTTTAGCTGTGTGATAAGGCTGGCGATTTTACCGGAAGAACCCTTCGCAATGCTTTCGGGAAAAAGTAGCATTTTACTAGCATCTCGTGCGACCCACCACGCCAATCCTCGCAGAGGGTCGCGCGGGCAAGTCAGAAATCAAAAAAAGTCCGCAGTTTTTTGCACATCGACCACGCCAATCCACGCAGAGGGTCCCAGTTTTTGGACATCGACCACGCCAACCCACGCAGAGGGTCGCGCGCGCAGATCAGAAATCGTAAAAAGTCCGCAGTTTTCGCACATTGACCACGCCAATCCTCGCAGAGGGTCGCGTGGGCAAATCAGAAATCGTAAAAAGTCCGCAGTTTTTGGACATCGACCCCGCCAATCCCCGCAGAGGGTGTCATTTTCGCAGGGTGGGTTCGGTCCCACCGCGCCGCCTTAAGAGACTAACTAATTTCTTTCGTGTCCAAATGTCTCGTGCAAGTTTGGCTGTGTGATATCTCGTGCAAGTTGTTCTCGTGCAGGTTGGCTCGTGTAAGTTGGCTCGTGCAAGTTGGCTCATGCAAGTTGGCTTGGGCAAGTTGGCTCGTGCAAGTTGGCTCGTGCAAGTTGGCTCGTGTACATTGGCTGTGCAAGTTGGCTCGAGCAAGTTGTCTCGTGCAACTTGGCTCGTGTAAGTTGGCTGTGCAAGTTGGCTCGTGCAAGTTGGCTCGTGTAAGTTGGCTCGTGTAAGTTGGCTCGGGCAAGTTGGGCTCGTGCAAGTTGGCTGGTGCAAGTTGCCTCGTGCGAGTTTAGCTGTGTGATAAGGCTGGCGATTTTACCGGAAGAACCCTTCGCAATGCTTTCGGGAAAAACGCCGAAACGCAACAAACAGTCCGACACTCTGAACTTGCTTCCGCCGATCTCCCGCCGGATTCCTCCGATGTTTTGCGGCCGCTTTTGCGCAAAAAGCTTAATTTTGCAAAACACGCTGCCAGGCGACACACATTTTGCAAAAAGGCAGAAACTTCTGCCGATTTGGGTGGTCCAGGTTTATAAATGTATATATATATATATATATATATAATATATAGACATGCGCACCTGCAAGCGTTTTGGGGATTCCCGTTTTGCGCTAGTGGGCCCCTGGTGTTTGGGGTCATGTTCATGGCACCAGATTTAAGAAATACTGCGACTTGGGATAATGGCTCACGCGCCAGAAGCTCTGGACAAAGCGCAAGGGAATCGCTGGCTGTGCTGGGGAACAGTTGCGAAGTGAGAGGAGACTAACTAATACTCTACTGCTTGGTTTGTTTGTTGTTAGTCTATGTCGGTGGCGCGGGGGTTGCCCTCTTTGCGTCTTTGCCAGGCAATGGCCATGCGGGCGAAATGCTCTACGTGACCGAAAGTGGCAACTGGGGGTGGTGGACTATGAACCAGGAGCGGGCCAAAGCTGTTAGGGCCACAGGCAGAAGAGAGTCGGCGGCAGGTTTTGCCTTGGTTTGGCGCGGTAAGGTTTGGGCCAGGAGCAAGGTCCAGCAAAAGCAGGCAAAGCGATCAGGCGCAGGCCGCTGCGTAAGCTAACCACAAGAAGTCATTGTCCACACATGCGCGCGTGGGCGTGCGTATCGTTCAAAAGCTGCAGGATCAGCGGTGCAAGTGGCAGCTGGTTTGGGATGACGGCGAGTACTGGATTGCTACTGGACAAGGCCACCGTAGTCCCAACAGGATGCTTTATGTCCGCAACGAGGTTCATCTCACAAACTTGTGGCGTGACGAGCTGGCCAAGTTCAGGATTCTTCTGAGTTAAAGGCTTGGAAGCGTTCTTCTGAGTAAACGGCCAGAAAGGGCGCTTGTCATGCATGGCAGGGTCGCATGTTGACAGATGTTAAGAAGAACGTTGATTTTTGGCATTTACCGTACCATCATCTTGCCAAGTGGCTCATCTGGCCGGCGCGACAGTAATTATTGCGCCGCAGTTTTCATAGCGAAGTTGCTATGGAAGAGCCATGAACTTACAGCGCATACCGTTCACAAAGAATGCCGATAAGGTGTCCTTGTCCGCTGCGGAGGATGAAAACGGAAGGTTCAAGATTCTCGCTGGCGACAGGAGCGCCCAGCCTGCGCTCGAAAGGCTTACTGTTGCCGGTGCCAAGATTCCAGTTGAACGACCGGGTGTTGCCATCAGGGGGCAGATGGCTTTGGCAACAGCGGCATTGCCCCAGCCGCCGCAGGACTATCGACTATCCTGTGTCTTGCGACGCAAACGACTCAAACGCTTGTTCAGACAAGGCCCGGCGCAGTGTGTTTCAAGTCCTTTGGGCGAGCCATACCTCCCGCCGCCCAGGCAGCTCCAAACTGCTGCGCGGCTGGGGGCACTGCTGCTGGCGCTGGACGGCAGCGGCTTGAAGGTGCTTCTAGGGGGAGGGAGTGCGGTGGTATCAAGTCCTTGTGGACTTGATCGTTAAAAGATGGAGCGCCTTCACAATACATTTGGAACACGAAGTTCGAGCAGGCAACATGAAGGGTTGGGACAGTCAAAGGTTTTGTAGCTGAATTGGTCGCACTTCCCAGTACTCCCTTCCCCCTAGTTATAAAGCACGCCCTCCTAAGTACAAGAACAGACTCGTGGACATTTAGGTTTGCGTGCGTTAAAAAAAACAACCAGGCAGATAAGACATTTCGTAGCTGTAGCTGTTTCAAGGAGTAGTCAACTTAGCCAAGCGCGAAAAGACTGGCAGCAAAACAAACAAGGCCGGCAGGAAGAGCTGGAGGTAGCTTTTGTAAAAGAGGTCCCTCCTTTCCGGGCCCCAAAGTCGTTGAACGCGACACTTTCAGAAGTAAGGAGCTTTTGATAGGTAAATGTGTGAGTGGGACTTGGCGAGACGTTCTGATACTTTAGAATTGGCTTAGGATTATAGTGAATTCTAGATTCTAGATGCTAATTCAGTATTGAGGGATATTCGGACTTCGGGAGAACATGTTTCATTATTAGGGGACAGCGGGACCGCCGTTATTGGGGAAGGGGAAAGTGATTGTTCGGTCCCAGTGTTGCTCTCGGATATGGGTCACTGGGGTCTCCATGTTAGTGGCCCTGGACCTGAGGAGGTCTATACCAGCACAAGGGCCGCCATGCAGAAAGTGGCGCAAGACTACGGGAAGTCAACCGCAGTGCAGGCGAGGCTCAGTCCGAGCGACTAGCTGACTAGCTGGCATGTGGGGATGCGCGTCACAATTCCCAGGAAACACGACCAGCGAGGCGAAAGGGTTTGGCATACGACACGAAACCGCATCAAGACTCCAAAAGCGAAAGGTAAACCACTACTGGCCATCAGTCTTGGAGGCCTTGGCCCTTTCCATATCAGAGCGTCAAGCTATTCCGTAGCTATATTTCATAGTGGGAATGATGCGAAGTTCCGTTTGTTGCCATCCTGCCTTTGCTGATTCGACCTAGCACGATCTTCATGTGATAGTGCTGCGTCAATCTGCGCCACGTGCAGTGCATCGTTTGGCTGTTTCGCCATGTCAGGCCACACATGGCTTTGCACGCTTTGCCTTGCAGCACCTTGCCCTTGCTTTTTTTGTACTTGCTGTGTCTGGCCTTGTCTTGTTTGAAGTTTGAACGACAAGTGGGGTTGTATAGAAAAAGTTGTTTACTCCTTGTCGTTTTGCAAAGTGATTTGCATGTTCTGTAAAAAAGGACCGGCCCGATACTAAGTAGTATCAGCCCACGAGAAAAATGAAGACATGAGTGACGCACGGCTGAGAAAAGTGTACTAGACTTGTGCTAAGAAGGACAAGCTGCAAGTTCGAGCTGGAGCTGCGGAAGTGTACTTCGCGTTTGCTAGACTTGTGCTACAAATTAAAGTTGCGAGTTTCGAGCTGGAGCTGCGGAAGTGTACTTCGCGAGCCAGACTTGCAGTACAAAGTTGCGATTTTCGAGCTGGAGCTGCGAATGCGCATTCCGCGTGTTAGATTGAACTTTAGAGTTGGGCTGGAGCTGCCAAAAAGTGTACCGGCGTACCACACTTGCACTTTAAAGTCGCGGCTTTCAAGCCGGAGCTACCAAAGTGTACTTCGCGTGCTGCACTTGTACTTAAAAGTTACGACTTCCACGACGGAGCTGTTCGAAGTGGGCTTGGCATACTGCACGTTGCGGCTTTCCAGCTCAAGGTGCCAAAGTGCACTGTCCTTACCGCACTTGTACTTAGAAGTTGCGACGTTCGAGCCGGAGGTGCGAAACACTGCAAAACGACAAGGAGTGAACATCGACAACCCCGAAAAGGGTCGAGAAGGGTCGAAGAGTTTGTCACCCCTTGTACACAGCCCCAAGTTAGTTTTGAATTTTCACCGGGATTTCATGCGTGCAACCCATGGCTCGCAGCAGGCTGACTGGGCTGCTGCAGCAGAGGTTGCGGCGCCTTGGCAGAGTGAGGCGTCTAACTTGCAAAATTTGATTTTTGTACATCTGGCAAGTGAACACAATCATTCTTGTAAAAACTTGTTACTGGTGATCACTGGCAGCTTGCTTGCCTTTTGGTCTGACATGACAAGTGCCTAACCAGAGTGCCCAGCATCAGCGACAAGTTTCAGCTTGTTGTTGGAAACCAGGGCCTGCAAGCGCAGCGCTGTCTCGCGAAGGCCAGATGTCCAAGAGCGCACTTTGCTTGTCTGGAGCTCGCGCAACACTGCAATTTTGGCTCAAATGTCTAGATGTGCTGAAGGCTTTAGTCACAGCCTTCAGTGTCACGGGAAGTCCTGAGTGCTTTTACTCAGCCGGGCCCCCAGGCGTGCTTGCGCAAATGGCTTGAGATGGAGCTTCCCTGGCAAATCATCACAGTTGTTGCGACAAACATCCTTGCAACTGAGGCACTTTTACAGACCAATGGATAGGCACCATGTCACATCGCATCATATCAGAGCAGCACATGCCCAAGGTGACCGCATTGGAAAGATGATGAAGAACGAGGCGGGCAGCCAAGAGTGCTTGCAAAACACCCCTTCCATGACTACATGGTACCTTTTTGCTAGCCGCGGAGTGGGGGATCTATTGGGTTTTGGACGCCCTGATACCAGCACGCTGGGACCGAGCCGTAGCTAGCTGAGGTACATGCGGATGCAGAGGACTACACGGAGAGTGATGACGAGGGGGCAGATGGCTATCGCCTCCGAAGCTGCAATTTGAGGGGCCACAGGACGGTTTCCCTCATGTTTCCCTTCGCATGCGAGCTAGCAAGCATCGCAAATTCTTGACACAAACCATATCAGCAGCCAAAAATCCTGTATCATTCGCGCCATATGTTGCATGTTGGCTTGAAGGCCAAGCCGATTCACCCACTGAGAAACGAGGAGAGGATCATCGTTCGCTTCCGGAGCTGTTTTCGTGGACACATGCTGAAGACAATGTCTCTTTGGGGCTTTGCTGACCGACGGCCCTGCAAACTCCCAGGTAAGGGTGGGTACCACCCAGTACACATTGGCGAGATCTACAACGGCCGCTACCATGTCCTCGCCAAATTGGGATGGGGCCACTTTTCCACGGTGTGGCTGTGTCAGGACCAGACTTGGTGCCGACTGTGCTGCGCGCATGCGATTTGCACATCTTGCGCGCTTTTGGCAGTTGGCAGTTGGCAGGTGCAAGGCAGAGAGGCTTGATGCGTTGCTTTTTCGACCCTCAAACAAGTGCCTTTCGTTTTTCTCGGGCGTTGGTTCCCTGCAGCATTCCGTGCGGAACGTGCCTATTCACCTGGCGCCGGTGAAACCTCTGCCTGGCGAGGACCTTCAGGTGACGCGCTACGTGGCGATGAAGGCCGGCGGCAACGCCTTCCAAGGGGCTGACGTCGGGGTATTAAGATTTGGAGGTTGGACAAAAACATGTGAAGGTGAGCCCAGCTTGGCCCTACCTTTCGGGCGGGGCCGCTGCAAAGTAGCATGTTGCCGTGTGCTCCATGGCATGTCACACAAACGTGGGGCAGAGTGGCACTTCAGCATCCACCTTGGTCATCCTGAGATTGGGGGAATTCCTATGAAGTGGACAAGGGTTTTGAAAGACTACCATCCTCTGAAAAGTCCCCTTGTCCACTTCCATGATAGTTGGAAAGAAGGTAGACTATCTTACCTTCAGCAAGCCGGGCAGGTGCAGAAGAGCGCGCCACATTACACGGAGGCAGCTTATGATGAGATCGAGCTTTTAGCAGAGGCCGGGTGAGTGCCCTTAGTGCACCTACCAGGTCACTTTGACTTTGACATTATGGGACAGAGGATGCGCCACTTAGAGTCGGCTGCCCCACATTCAGAAAAGAACAAATTGGATCTATGGAGCTGCTTCAAGATCATGTTGAAAGGAAGTGGGCCATTCTATTTGAGCTTTGTTGTTTGGACTGCTTGCCGGCAAGTTGTTGGCATGCGTGAGTGCCAGGCTGCCAAGCGGGCCAAGGACCCTGCTTGGGAGGCGCGAGCATGGCGCAGAAAGATCCACGCGAGTCACGTGCCAGAAGGTTTGGCAGGGGTACACCCTTGTGGATGGGCATGAAGGGCAAGGTTCTTTTTAAAGACAGCGCGAAAGAAAGCGATGGCGTGGAGAAGATCATCCCTCGGTTTCAGTAACCACGGTTGTGTTTCTTGACACTTCAAGATCACTGACACTTGACCTCCTGGAAGCCCAACTTGAGTAGGCTGGTGGGAGAACTTTGGAGCTGCACCCAGGTTTCACAGTTATGCTTGTTTCGGGTTGCGAGCCACTTTCAACTTGAAGTTGGCAGTGCCAGTAGCCAGGCTGAAGGCAAGGGCCCTCGCCAGGAGTCTCAGAAGGGCACGTTGAAGCAGCTCTTTCCAGAGGCTGGCGCAGAGGGCTTCACCGGGGTGGTTCAGCTCATCGAAGCTCGGCTTGCGGGACGGGGTTAAAGCAAGGGGACGCACGCTGAGCCGTGTCAACAGTTGAAGTTGGGCTGAGAAATGGTGAGATGATGAGAGGTAGCACCAGCAATCGTGATAGGTGGCGCTGACCTTGCAAAGATTCGTAAGATGCTATTTGTCTGGGATCATGGTGTGACATGGTGGAAAGCGTCGATGCACACTGGTTTTGGAACCGGCTGGTTTTGCGTGGTCCCGATGCTTTCCCATGGCTGATTGAGTTTCCCACTGGATGCCAACCAGAGCGGCCACCAACAGGATGCCCATGCAAAAATTGCTAGCCGAGGATTACTTTGAGCACTTCGGTGTCAACGGCAAGCACGCGACATGGTCGCAACTTGCGTGTGGTGAGGCCTTCTTCCCGTGCAGCGCCCATTTGCCCTTGCCATTTTCTTATGGATGCCAAGGGCAGTCCCACCCCCCGCATGCTGTTGGAAGTGATGCCATACCAGTGCGGCTTGCAAGTGGCACGGAGCCAGTGCAAGGTCTGCATGGTTTTCGAGACGATGGGGCCAAACGTGCTGGCTCTGATCAAGAGGCCGGGTCATGGCGAGAAGCATAGCTCTGGTTGCTCATGTGGCATGCCAACGCCTTGGAGGTACAACTTCAAGGGAATCCCCCTTGACATTGTCCGCAAGGTCACAACACACACGCTGATTGGCCTTGACTACCTGTGGCTTGGCAGCCGCAGACCCGAAAAGATCTACGTCTAGGATTTCAGACTCACCATTGCAAGGGCTCTTTTCCAACTTCAAAAGGCAGATGGACATTCGCTGCTTGATGCCCAAGAGGCGAGTTGCTGGGGTCTGAGGCACAGGATCTGCGGCATCATCCACACGGACTTGAAGCCCGAAAACGTTCTGGTGGGCTGCCCTCGTGGCGTGCCGGTGAATAAAACAGGCGTGCCCCTGGTTGGCAATGTGGATCCAGCCATGGTGGCAGCCAAGAAGGACTGCGCTTATTGACGTCCCGAGGGTTGTGACTGACAGTTCCGGATATCGCAGCCCGAGGGCTGGACGTGGAGCTTGTCTCTGATTGGAGCAGCCCTGGCATGTTGATGCTTGTTCGAGGGGTCTAGGCGGTCTTCAGGTTCTGCGGATCCTCGTAGCAGGACAGGTTAGTTACTTTGTCATTCAACCACACGGCCGCATGTTTTGCCTCGGGGCACCGCAGGATACAAAGGGCATGAGGGATGAGCTCAAGAAGGGCAAGAGGAAGGACAAGATGAAGATGGACGCGGATGACGAAGACGCAGGCTTGTCAGAGCTGCTCAGTTACGTGGGCACATTTACGATTGATCAGCACGAGCCACTTCAAGCTCGTGCCAATCCCGGATTGGCTGCCAGTCTCTCCTTAGTGGCTTAGTAGTAGGCGGACTGGAAAAGAGCAAAGTTGTAGGCCATAATGGCTAGGCTGTTTGTTCCTTGTGGTTTCTGAAGGATAGACGAAGCTAGCAACAAGCACGGACTCCACTGTAATTGTGGACTGTTTCTAATCATCGGTCTCTTTGTCAGGAACGTGGGTCACGGGGCACTGCACTGGGAGAACAGTGGCTTGATTACCACATAATGTCAAAATATCACGCTCGTGGGTGAACATAAGCATCGTGTTTAGTCAGTTTAGTCGTGGACTGGAGTTTTGAAGAATAAAGCTATCCGCAGCACGCCTGATGTCCTGTACCAAAATGCGGATGCCGCCGGGTGATTTGAAGCTAGCGGAAAAACTACTTGTGAGTGTTCTTCCGCAGCCTAGCCCCATCATCGTTCTCCATGATGGGGCAGATCTCTTACTTGCAGTCTGGTCATGAAAGTGCTGGCACTCGCTAGGGTCACTACAACTCTCAGGTCGCGGGGCAAGCTTCTTTTTTGGACAAGCTGAGCAAGAAATATACCCACACAACCGCTGCCCCAACGCAATTTGGGGATATTTTGGGGTCGCGTCGAGCGGAACACCTTCGGTGGAAGCTGCGAGTTGGACCTGGGCGCAGGTGACGGTGAGGAGGCAGTGCCGCGGCCCCCTCCCGTCCTGGCGCCTAGGCGGACAAAAATCTGAAGTCAAATGGAAAATGGCCCAGACATATCAGAAAATAGGGCTCCCCAACAGATACATCTAGCTAGAAAGAAGTAAGTGGTTTTGGGGATTCACATTGATTCTCAACGCGTCCAGGATTCGGTTGTTCACCGAAGGCACAGCTCCCGAAACAATTGATGTTTGTGAAGAAAGGGCACCTTGTAGTTGGGAACCATGGGCAGCTTTCTTTGTAAAAGTAGGAGTTGTGTGTGTCAAGGCCCTGTTTTTTCTGTCCCGAGCAAGCATGAGGCGCTTTGGCCCCCGTTGCGATGTCAAGATACTTGTGACGTTGTGCGGACGTGCAAAGGATGACGCCCTGTGACTGGGATGTGGGCCATCCGTACCTAGAAATGGATTCGAGGAGGGAGTGCAGTGGGTGGAATTTCCTGTGTGGTTCGGTAACTGGGATCCCCCCACATCCCCCCCCCCGCCCCGAGGTTGGGCCAAGATGTCCCATAAGACCTGGGTCCGAGGTGCCGGATCCCATGCAGATGGCGCCGAATGAGCCCTTGAACGAGCCACCCTACATGAAGCCATTCCTGAAGCCCTCGCGCTCGGATCCCACGCTGTTGTCTTCCTATGGCGATGACATGGTGGCCTTGAGTCGGCCCCTTTACAACCACAGTGCAAGCGTCTTGGCATGGACCGTGCAGAATTGCATGACACACCGATGGCTTCTTAGCTTTCAAAGTTGCCTTTGCATCTTCTTTTGCGCCCCCGAGTGGAGATGTGATGTTCGCATGACTTCCTGAAGCCTTAAGCCTGTCCAAATAGTATTGGTAGTAACACGGGCCCCTTAGGATGTAAACAGGGATGTGGTGAAGGTGTCTGAAGGTTGGGTCCGATCGTTTTGTGGTGCCCTAGCTATGTTCGCACAGTTGCTTCCCACCAAGCATGAACCAAAAAGGGGGGGGGCTGTTTCCCGTGGTAAATGGCAAGCAATGCTTACTGCAGGAAACAGCGAGGGCATGGGCAAGTTCTCCTTTTGAAGGGTCAGTCCCCAGAATTGATTCCGGGCAGTGATGTCCTCTTCCAAATGTCAGGCATATGGGCCAACCAACTTTTTAACTTTTTGTTGGGGGGTTTTGGTCGGGTCACTCCAAAGCTGAGGCCTTCTGAAGGGCTCCGTGCCGCCGGGCGTGCCGGTGGCCCCCATGATGCCGCAGCCCCCCGCCGCGGCCGCTTCAGCCAGCTCTGTGGCCAAGCCTGAGAGCCTCTCGGCGAGCTCGCCGTTTTGCGAGGATGGAGCATGGCAGTTGGCCACAAAAGGGGGGTTCAATCGGTTCAGCCTCAGGTGCAATGTTTGGGTGGACAATCGCCTTTTCGCTTTATTGTCCTACAAGCAGTAGCAGAAGGAGCCCCAACAGACCGAATGATGTGGAACAAGGATGCGGGCGTTCATGTGTACAGAGTTCGGATAAGCTGGACATGTTCCTGGCAGTGAGCTGGTCATTGGTCATGTGGGTGGCTTGCAGGTTTGTCGCATGCCTGTCCTTTGGGAGGAGGTACGGTTGGCGATCTTGCTGTTGAGCATGGAAAGGGTAGGAGTTTTTTTGCACTGGCACCAGGGCTGCTTTGAGAAAAGGCGGTTGCGACTTGCTTGGGTTCAAGGCTCGTGCCGGAATGTGCCAGACCAAAACGAACCTTTGTTCTTTCCAGAGGCCTTGATCATCGACTTGCCCAAAAAGCGGCCGAGCAAAAAGCTATGCACACTGTGGCTCAACCAGAGGCTCAAACACCTGAGGCAAGGGCCAAACAAACAACTGATGCACGCTGGCTCGCTCGTTGGAGCGGAGGCATTGATGAGAAGCTGATCGAGGAGGTCCTTGGACTGGATTTATTTGACCACACCGGCGTCACTTACAAGGTGGCCGATTTGGGCAACGCTTGCTGGGTGGAGAGGTGGCTTGATTCAAGATAAGTCGGGGATGGCAAGAAGCTGATCTTTTTTGTCCTCTCTCGCGGGACTCAGAGTGGCCACCTGACGCTTTAGGCAGCAACACTTCGTGCACATTTGCCTTGGACGTGTTGGTCGCATTTGAGTGCGTTGAAGGCTTCGTGTTGGCCTGCACCTGGGTCCTGAGGCATTTCTCCGACGACATCCAGACTCGACAATACAGATCACCTGAAACTATCATCAATGCAGGCTACGACACCTCAGCTGCTGTCCTGAAAGTTTTTCGAGGGTTTGCACGCTGGTTGGCATGCAGACCGATGCAACAAAGCTTAGGGATGCACAGTGAATGACAGCCGCTGCCTATTTGGTTTGCGCATAGGTGTGCCTCAAAGCCATACCTGAAATGTTGTTTTGTTTTTTCCTCAAGCACCCTTTTCCTTTCGTTCATGCAGACGCCGAAGCACCAAGGCTGACATTTGGTCCTTGGCTTGCATGGTCTTTGAGCTCGCCACCGGCGACTATCTGTTCGACCCCAAGGCCTCTGATGAGTATCCGCGTGATGAGGAGCTCGCTAGAACCCCTGCAGTGCAGTGAGTGCGTGAAACATTTAATACACGTGTATATAGATATACCCATTAATACATCAGCACATATGTGTATATATATATATACATATACTTGTGGCACTAGTACGAAGGTTCCTTGTTTGCGGATTTCCTAACTTTTGTTACTTCATGCTGCTTCAGATCGAAAATGTACATTGCACGCAGGTGGGCACGATTGGGGGCTAAAGCATTGCTCAAAGGCACAAGGTAGCTGTTTCACGTGGTCGCAACTCCGCATTGGATTTGGCCTGTTGGTTTTAGAAAGGGTCTGTTCTCCCGGGAAGGACCACCTCGCGCTGTTCATTGAGCTGCTGGGCCCTATGCCGAAAGAGCTTATCGGCCGCGGCAGGCTCCGAGGGTTTTGTGCCTCATGGTTGGCAGGGAGAGCCGCCGGCTCGCAAAGGGATGGTAAGGCTTGCAGCCACGCAGATTTCCGGAGCACTTCTCAGGTTTGAGTGCGACTCGAGTCGCAGGCGCTCCAGCACCTATTTCAACCGCCGTGGGGAGCTGCGGCACATCAAGTCCCTCCGCTACTGGCCTCTGGCGGAAGTTCTGTCGAAGCCTTGGAAGCGGATGGAGCGGATGGAGAGGTCCCTTTGAGGGATGCAGTGAATTGATCGATGGTTCTGGGTGGTGCTATGTTGAATTTAGTCCTGTTTGGATGGGAAGTCACATCCCCCTGGCCAAAGAGGCAGGGCTTGGAAGATTTTGCTGCGCGAGCCAGCAGCGTATCGCGGTAACATGCACATTCGCTCGGAGACTTTTGTGGGTTTTATGCTCGCACTTCGGCTCCGCTGAGGCTCCAGAAATACCACATGCATGCCGTTGAGGCTAGGAGCCTCGCATCCTTTTTGCTGCCCATGCCGCTCGTAGGCAAGGAGTCGACCATTTAGGAAAAGGTTTCCTAAGAGGGCGGATGGCAGGTTGCAGCGTTTGGCTTTGTAACAATGCCCCGCGACATTCTCCAAGCTGGAGGTCGTTACCATGACAGGCAGGCAAGGCACAGGCATGCTGATGACTGATGGATTGGTTTCTGAATTGCACTAGGGGCCTGGAGCCTGTCGGCAAAACTCAGTCACCGGATATCACCGGATTCTACATAGCTTTGCGTAGAGAGGCCTATGCACGCCATAGGGAAGTGTCATGCAGAGCAGCACAGCTGACAGCCGAGGCTGCAGCTTCTGCCAGAAGACAGGACGGTAATGTGCCAAAAGCTACCACCGGGGCACTCTGTTGAAGAGATGCTTAAATGCGGCATGCAAGCGACCCTTCATTCTGTAATTTAGCCAGTCAGTGGCTTCTTTGAGGCGATGCTGTCCGTAGTTCATGACCTCTGGACCAAGGCGACCAAGACCTTTGCTATTCTGCAGCCCTTTCCTTGTTGTTGTCACCCAAATGCCCACACCACTCCCCAGGCAACTTGCAAGAAAGGAGTCGGAGCGCACTATAAGCCCCCGGCAGGATTTCGGCAAAGGCTGCATTAGAGCACCCGTGGCCAATGCCTCAGCATGTTGGCGTGCGACGCGGCGGGCATGCAAGCAGCAGCGCTAAGCAGCGTTTTTTTTTTTTTGGCGGGTACTGGTAATCCTTAAGCCCAGCGCTTGCCAGCTGCAGTGCCAAGCGCAAGCACGGGGCAATGATTGTTCACAGAGGGTCAGCCTTTTGTTCTGCAGTCAACTTGGAAAGACTCCAAAACTCTACTTGTTCACGAGGCTTCGAGGCGAGCCCAGTGACGACGTCACGGAGTTCGTGAACCGCAATGCCCTGAACGTGCGGCACCCAGCGCACATGTGCCTGAAATACAGACGGCCAGTGGCTCCCCAAAGTACTGGCCTGTGGGGCCAGAGTCCAAGCCCGCCCCTGGGGTCAGCCATCAGGCAATTTCAAACCTTGGCGTGTCCCAAACTCGGGTATGAGCCTTCTTGCATTGGCTGTGCACTGGAATCAACACCAGATGAGTGGGTTCCCCCATGTTGAGATTTACTTGTGCTCCCCCCAGTGCCCATCGCCCGGAGCCCCACACGCCCAGATGCCCCGACTTGGCATCGACGGCGCCTTCGGGCGTGAGGGAGGACGAGGTGGAGCGGTGATGGGAGCAGCACCATTCCACGAAGAGGACGCGGGAAAGCGTAGAAGAGATAGGGCAGATATGGCTCAAGGGCTCAGGGCCACAGCGCAGTGCTTTGACAGAGCTGGTGCCGATGTTCAGGATTGATTGCCTTTTTCTCCACATGGGGTCTGCTTTTCCACTTTTCGCTGGAGAACTACAAGCCCCACCCAGTACTGTAGAGGATTTGTTACCGGCAATTGGAAAGAGAGAATCCTTCTAACACGCTGGTGCCAAACAAACCAAGGCACCTGCCTACTGTGCCATTGTCCATTGGCTCACAGCTTCGCGCTTTGCTTGCCATCGCGGCGTGCCAGGAGCAGAGGCCTTTTGAACAGTAGTGGCCCAGCAGGAGGGGGTGTGATGCCTCTTGGCAGGGCGAACCCACCCTAAAGGGTTCTGCTGGTCAGTTCGGTTCTGTTGCCCTCTGGTGTGGATCATGAGGTGGTGGCTGGCTTGCTGGCTGGCAGGCTGGCTGGCAGGCTGGCTGGCTTCTTGCTTGCTTTCTTGGGTGGTTGCTTGCTTTCTTGGTTGGTTGGTTGGTTGGTTGGGAGTGTGTAGAAGAGCGCCAGTCCTCGTTTGGAGCAGTTGGGAACGAATTGATGACAGCAAGCCTGCATGAGCAACAAGTCGCATAGGATTTGGGGCAGTTGAGAGTTGCTTGGGTGTGGTGTACTTGGGCTGTTTGTTTAGGCTTTGCTTGGTTGGGCTGCTGGTGGGTTTGAGGTTTGCTTGGGGCTGATTGTATCGGATGTTTTTGGGCTGGGTTCTGGGTTGCCATTGAGCCCTTCCTCAAGCTACATTTCAAGAGAATGCATTTATCTTATTGTGCAAATGCCCACGGCACGTCCAGGAGGGCCTGCAGGATGGGATTGGCCAACTGTGGCGGGACCGCTCGGGGGCTTGGCACGGCTCGACAGCCTCCCCTGCTATGTGCCCAGCATTGATGTTTCCCAGCGGGCTGTTTGGGTTTGAAAGGAGTTGTCCCGGGACCCAGGGCCGAGGTTTCGCAAGGACCGCTTCAGGATGTGGCCAGGGTCAGACAAAGAGCCCTTGTCAAGCAGGATGTGCCAACCGCTTGTTGCATCAAGCTCCCCGCGCCGCGAGGCTTGATCAGAAAGACTCCAGACAACCTGAGCGAATTGACATGCACTGCTACACTCCAACGGATGGAAAATAGTGAGTGCTGCGCTGCCGAGTTGTGCCCCTCCAAGCCACACTTTCGAGGTTTCCGCTTATCATCGGTCTTATGGGTGTGACTTCATTTGACCCGGAATGTTATGCTTGAAGTTGGCAAACACACGTGGGCATGCATAAAATTGCATTTAGAAGTTGGCATACCTTCAATCATCCAAGGATGTCACCTTGTTTGTGTGTGCTACAACGGGTGGAAGCCTGGCATATCCTGGCTGTCAATACCCTTTTGCAATTGGGTCTTGCCATCCGCCCGTTCCTTTCACAGTCCCGGTCGCTGGGCGGGCGATTTGCACCAAGGCGCTGGACTGGTACGAGCAGAGCTGGACCACCGATGTGGACATGTTGGAAGTGAGCATGCCCGTGGCTTCGGCTTGACATGTGCCATGCGCTAGTCCAAGCACAATAGCTAGGATCAGTATTGGCCGTGAAACTTGTTTCCTTGCTTTGAGCCTTGGCATCCTTGTCCGCTGAGAAAGCAAATTGGCCGTGCAATTGGAAAGATCGGTGTTGCAAATTTTGGGTTGTTCCCTTCCAGGAACTCTGCTCTTTACCATCTTGCAATTATTTAGGTTCTGTTTTTGGTGTCCTTTCGCCTTTGAGTTGGGTGGCTGAGTGAAACAACAACACAGAAACAGGGTGTTTTGTTGACTGATGCTTTGGCGGACATTTCTGGGCCGAGGTCTGGGGCAAAACATCCTAAGCAATACACCTGCAGCCAAGGATCTCTGGAACACGGCGATGGGGGCTGCGCAGACGAGCCAACAAAGCGGAGCCAGCCTGGATGCCCAGGCGGTGGGCTTCGGCAACAAAGACCCGGGAGGGCTTTTGTTTCGGGGATATCCCACTTCTCTCTACTTCTCTTGGGGCTTAGTGAACGCTTCTGCTTGTGGAAGGGCGGGGGAGGGGTTCAATCTCATTTTGGCAAGTTTGAGGGTTCATCCAGATGGCGCCACGGTGACTGCACTTTGCGGTTGCTTGGGCACTGACCGTTTTCGACTCCACAAGCACAGAACATTCGTCACTTGGACAGTGGTGCACATATGCGAGAACAGGGGAGAACCTGTCCTCATCCCAAGATGGTTCACCAAAATGTCTTTGAGAATGATTAAGCACGCTCTAAACCAAGTAGTTGGGGATTCATGTTCCGTTGGTTTTGCTTTTGAATTGTTTCGCCGGACATGACCTGAGGTGTGCAAGCTCAACTGCTGGCTGCGGCAGAGGCATCTCGCGCCCAGGCGGAGGCTTTGGGCCTGACCAGCCTCCAGCAGGCAGGGATTGCAACGGAGAGGATTTCGAACAGTCTGGCCTTCTTTTACTCTGGCCTGCTTCAAGGCAAAAAAGGCAGGGGACAAGCACCACAAGAAGTGTGGTGCCTCTGTTGGGTTGCCTTGATTATATCATATCTGTGGAGCCCAAAAGGGTTCCTACGCAACGGCTGGTTTGGCGTTTCGCATTCTCACTGACTTTGGATCTGAAACCAACAAATACTCGTAGCAAGTGGTTGGCCGTCGCCTACGCGCAACCTGAAGTTGAACGCACGCCAACCTGCATGGAAAAACAAACAGAGACAGCAAGGATTGCACACGTGATCCACAAGGACCACAAAAGCAGCCAGAGACAGCTGATCCCATGCGCTCAGGCGCGCCAGCCGGGCTTCCCAGGGGCTGGGCAGGAGTCACTTGCTGCAGCACTCTTTGCGAAGCACTCGCCCGAAAGAATAGAATCTCATGTAGCCGCGGGTACCATGCAACAATCATGGGCCTGAAAGGGAGCAGTCAAGGAGCAGTCAGCCGTACTTCGCTTGTAAGGATTGGAGCCATGGAATCGGGAGTCTCTGCCCCCCCTTCAAATGGCACCGGGTGCCACCTCCGAGGTCTGGGCTGGCGGCCGCGGAGGTGGCCCGGCGCCGGAGTCTGGCGCTGGGCCTGGCGGCCCAGGCGGCGGAGCAGGCGATGGGAGTCGCTGGAAAGGTTGGGCATTTGTTTGTTTGTCAGCACCCACGTGTGAACGTTGAGTCGAGAAGGCTCTTCAGCATTCCGTTTTTAAACCACCAAGCTGAGCGGCCCATTAACAACTCACATGGGCAGGCTAACAAGCAGCTGGGCGAGCCACTGGCGAAGTTTGCCACTATGTTCCCGGAGGCGTGGGTGGCCATTGCTGCCATAGAATCCGCTGCCCAAGCAGATGCTAATGTGTTGTCCATTGGCTGCGGCCATGTTCGATGCCGGTAAACAGAAAAGCAGCGCAGCTGGAGCTTCTTGTTGTCCGTGTGTTGGGTGATTCTAGGAGGGTTCTTTTTATGCTCATTATATTTGGTGCAAGCGCTGGAACCCGTTTAGTAGAATCCGTATAGGACCCTTTGAGCGTGGTTCATGCTTGTCTTCCCCCCCAGGACATGTTCCCGTTGATTCCCTTTTGTTGTCTGTCGATGCTTGCCTTTGTCAAGCTGCAAGTCGTTGCTGGACCGGGTGCATGCACCGGCCCATCACCTAAGGTGCAGCACAACATCAGCAAGGCGCTGGGCTGCAATGAGTGTTTGCCTTGATGTCCCTCGAAGAATTATTTGATTGCCCTTGTTTGCTCATCAATGCTTTTGCTTCCCATTGATTGCTCCCCGTGGGCTGGCCACCGTTTGGGGTTTGCAAAGTGTTGTTGCAGCGTGGCAAGGCACCGGGCCCGCGCTTCTCAAACTTCGACTTGCAGGACGGTGTTCGGACGTTAGGGTGGCCAAGAGGCAATTCTGAAGACCAGTTTGAGCGCAGCAAGCGGGACTGCATACACGAGACCGATGCCTGCAAGATAGTGCTCATTTTGCCACTAGGGCTTCACTGGCAGCCATGCCTCATAGCTACACACCCGAGCTGACATCACTTCCAAAACTCCTTAGTCCCACGGCCCGCACGAGCAACCTCACTGAAACGAGCTGGTCCCGGCGCTCGAGCGTTGAGGAGATTTGGACGGTGGCCATGAATGCAGCAGAGCGCACCAATGGCACCAGCCTGGAGCTTGGCATTTTTTGGCCGGGTACTGCCTTTGTTTTGATTCCCTCTTTTGGCTGCCGCGACTTGCTGGCGAGTTGTTTTGCCTGCACAGCTTTCCGTACTACATTCACAACATGCAAATAGGAAGCTACACGCAACACCCATTGGCACAGGCACAGTTCTGATTGGGTTTTGGCCGCATTTAGAGCAGGGAGGCCATGAACAGAAGCAAACGGCTCATGCAAATGCCGACCCACAGTGCAATTGCATTGTGGTGATCCCACTTGATGTTCCAGGGGGCTAGCATGTTTTGCCGTTGCTAAGGCGAGGAGCAAATCTTGGCAGCTGCGCAGGCGGCAAAAGGCTTGTGCGCCAGCAGGGGCTACAACGCTTCCGGCCAGGCGCGGGTGCGATGAAGGTATTCGAAGAATGCAGGGGCTTCTGCGCGTGCGTCCGGCTAATGAAAGGCCGCTACCCAATCAAGGCGGAGTGAAGCAAGCAAGGAGATTTTACATTGAAACATGTAGCCTTGGAAGCCAGTTGGGCTCGGAAATCCCATTGGATATGCCCCTCCTCGTCAAGATGAGCAGTCTTGGCTGCTCCTTCGTGCATTTCTCGTGCACAGTTCTACGACTGGTAAAACCACTTTCTCCACAGAACCGGCTCCTGGCAAAAGGTTCAAAAGGTAGCCTCGCTGGGCCTGCGGCTCCTGTTTCGCATCGGGCATTTTCCACCAAGCGCGGCCTGACCCACCTCTTAGTGGATGCGGACAATCAAAGCATCGAGCAGATCAAGACGGCGGCTCACATCTTTGCCGGGCAGAGGCTTCGGGTTTCCGTGTTTGCGAATCCGGACCGCAGCACGAACAAGAAGTGCGACGGTGTTGAGCTCAAACCAGTTCCTCGGGTTGGCGGCACTGCTGATCTTGCAGACGAGGCCATCAAATCATTCGCCGGAAAGCTGGCAAAGAAGCAACAGGTCCATTGCTTTGCTGTCCTTGCCAGCGATAGCGGTTACGTAGATCTTGTGCGGCGCCTCAAGTCATCAGGAAAGGAAGTCGTGATTATTCTGCCCCGCATGAAGTCAGCAGCGGCAAGAATTGCCTATGAGGCAGAAAAAGCCAAAATTGTCCTTTTGGAGCCAGCACGGGAGCCTGCCCCAGCTGTCAAAGCGATTCTGGATGCCAATGGTACTGGGCATGTTTGCCTCACAAAGGGAAGCCCAGCTGAGACTCTCAATGAAGCGGACTTTGTGCCGGCAATCAATTTCTTGAAGCCCCACGCCTCCATTGATCGAGATGCATTTGTCGTAGCGCTGGTTGGGCATATCGCGAAATGTTGGCATCAACATTCTGTCGGCCCCCTTGTTGTTTTTCCTGGGATCCATGCTGTACAAAGCTTGAACCATGTGCTCGCAAGCTCACCAGGCACAGTGAAGTGGCACAAGTATCAGAGTGACTTGGCGTTTGTTTTGCCCCATAGTGGCGGCAGCAGGCTTTCTGCAAAGGACTTGGAGACATTTGGCTCCACAAGGGCCAAGCAAGTTTTTTTGGGCGGCGGGCCGTTCATTGAGACAGACTCGCCAAACTTGGGGTTCCAAGCCATGACAAGACTGGGATACCTAGATGACTCCTTGAACGCTGACCTTGACGAAGCTCTAATGGTTTTTCTCAACGGGATCAAGAGAAACCTTCGGAAAGCAGATGCCCTCCCAGCCGCCAGCGAAACGCACAAGGGCATCTTGCGCAAGATTCGTGGAGCACTCCTGGGCGAGGGAATGTGGGGCTCAGCCCCAAGAGACAACAGTGTGCGCATGTGTGCGCAAGATGCTGGCGGCTCGCGGGCTCCTGCTTTCTGAACAAGCTTCACGAGCACAAGTTCTTGAGGCCATGCAAGCCTACGCAAAGTGCAAGCGGCTGCCTGTGATGCGGACATACAACGGAAATGTGTGGCAAATCCACAATGGGAGGAGTGCGCATGACCCCAACAGAAGGGCAAAGCGCTGGATTCGGCACCGATCTGTTTCGTTGGATAAGGGTGTTTGATAACTTTGTCTTGAAGCTTTGAAGCTGGCCTTTGCCCATTTGTTTACTGGTTGAATTTGCATCACATCCTGAAAGCTTAGATGTGAGCCATGCGACACACTGTCAGGCGAGGATGTGCCAAGCTCAGATTAGCAGAAGCGCAGTCTGTTGGTCAGGCTCATCAATGCGTTCACACTCAGGGCAAACCTTGCAGCGCACACGACAATGCAATGCCTCTCTGGACAGCCTCCCCACGTCAGTCAAGCTTTGTGGGAGCTTAAAAGAGGGGCCGTCCAGTAGTTTCAGCACTCAGGTCCAGCCTTGCTGCCGGGGAAGTGGCAAGGCACCTCACAGGTGATCAGATGCTGCGAGCCGACGCTGCCAGCGATGCTGCCACGCAGGCGAGGTTAGACGGCCGGCTGCTGGGGTGCGGGCTTATGGCACAAATTGTTTTGGAGGGATACGCTGGGATACGCCTAGATGCAAAGCCAGCTGATTGAATGTGCCAGGAACGATTCAGCACAAACCGCAAGCGAAGGCAATGGATCAAAACACGTGGCAGAGGAGGTGTCAACTCGCCGGCCTTCTGACCGTTGAGGCATGTCCGAGTGGTTGGCCATGCTCTCCCCGCTGCCCAGACGCAGGTGACGTCCTCTCTGGGCCTTGGTGCCTCCCAGAGCGCTACGGAGGCAGCGCTGGCCCGGAAGATGGCGACTGCGGCGACAAGCGACGAGGCACAAGGGACCTCAGGGTGACCGAAATTCGAGACGGGGGATCCACAATAATGTGTCACCTTTGTGCTGTTTTGTCTTTGGATTGGGGACGAGGTTTGAGTGGTTGGTTTCTGTTGATGTGGGGCGTTAGTTATGCCAAAGGCGGTACACGATTCAGAAAAGGCATTTTCTTTGACAAGGACAGTCAAATTCTGAAAGTCAGTCAGGGCACCCCATGTAGTGCAGCCCACATGCGGTTGCAACATGAGTTGAAACCATCTTTTTGCTGAGTGAGATGGAGAACTTGCTCTGCCTTCAATCAGTTCTGCAACTCGCTCTATTTTCAAGAAGGTCACCACTTGCATAGGTATGGCAGGCTTCGATGTTCGCTGCAATTAACGGCTCAAGACCGAGGGTCACGCGGAGCAAGTAGCTAAGCATCGGTGCACACTTTTCTCGCTACCATGAGCCAGCCGCAAGTGTCAAACCGCTTGGTGGTGGCCCAGCTGAACAAGACCAAGATGTGCATCCAGCTCCTTACCTGCTGAATCACTGTTACAAGCATGCTGTCACATCCAAGAAAGTATCTTGAGGGCAGTCCACCTTAAAAACTTAATAAGGTGCAGGCCAGGGGGATGTGGAGCCGGGCGTTTGTGCGGTGCCTCGCTGCAACTCGATCCGAACGGCGCGTCAGGTTCTCCAAGGGTTTGTGCAGGGAGACGTCTTGTCGCTTTGCCCACTCCGCGGATGAGCTCCGCCAGGCCCCGGATTTGATGAAGACGGCCATGTGCAGGTGGGGGGCCGCAACAAAAACGCCGACCTCCAGCGGCGCCCGTTGCATCCTTGTGTTTAGTTCACGTATTGTTTCAGCAACAACCATGCGTGCCGAATGGTCGCTTGGCTCAAGACTTGCAAACTCCCGTCAAGGGTCGTCTCCGCCCTTGAGTCTGGGGCCGTGGGCTACCGGTACTAGGAGGTGCTAGGGTTCTTCGGCGTGGACTTCTTGGGCTTGGTTGTGAGTTTCACTTTCCTGCATTCTTGTTTTCTTTCACCATTCACATCAACTTCCTTGTCACGTCCCACTTCCTGGTCCCAGCCACATCTCCCACGAGTGTGACACTGGGTGCTTTGGGTACATCGTGTACTACGTTGTCCCGTTTTGCTTCCCCGGGCTATATCCCTTCCGCCCAAAACCGCAGGTTATCAGCCGTAAACAGCTAGAAGCTGTGGCTGGTGACCCAGTTGCGGGTCGTGACCCGCTACTTGCTCTACATCGTCGCCTTCGCGCAGGAGCAGTGGCTTCACTGGAGCCTCGGGTTGTGGGCCCGGCTTCGCGGACAACGAGGCCCACGCCATGCGCGGCAACTCCGCGCTCAACGCCCCCAGCCAAACAAGCCGGTTATGGCCACTTCCTCCGGTGACGGGCGCAGAGCCCAATCCTGGAGTTTTCACGGACGACTGGATCCCCTCGGTCGTTTTTGATGAGGAAGCGGAGGCCCCTATCCCGGCGGCGGTGCTTCAGATCGATGACAGACCCCCTCAAGAAGAGGCAGTGGCCCCTCCGAACCAGGAGCTCCCGTCGAGGATTGTTGGAGGACCAGGTTGCTCGTCCTGCAGAACATCCAGAAGCGGCTCAATCTTGGTCCCTTACATGGGATCAGTATGATCAGTTTCTTGGAGGTGGGGCGCACACCACCACAATAGGCGATTTCGATCGAACTTGGACATTCAATCCGTTTTTGATGCTGATTGGGATAGCCAGTGCATGAACCCATTGAGGACTACCCTGATGAGCTTGAGGGCGACCCTATTGAGGATTTCTCCCCATCTCGTGTTGCAGGTCCGGGCCAACTTGAATCGGGCGATCGGGCTATTGAGGATTGGCCGCAAACAGCTGGCCGTCCTTCAGCTTCAGGTTCATTTTCAGCCGTCATTGATGTTGATCATCCGTGTCCAGCTGATTTGGACTTCATCCCGGATACAGTATCGACCTTCCTCACGTACCCATGAACAGGATGCGAGCCGGCTCATATTGTTCCGACCCGAGCCGCTACAACGCTAACCCAGCCTCAGGTACTCAAGAACAGGATTCGGGCCGCTACATTGCTGGCTGAAATCCATCGATCTCAACCTCAGGCGCCCAAGAACGGGATGCGAGCCGCTACAACGCTGGCTCAAATCCACAAAATCAAGCCTCAGGTACTCATGGACAGGATGCGGGCCGCGATGCAGCTGGCCCAAATCCATGTCCCGCATCATCAAGAACCAGTGATGGATCCGAGCAGGATTCATCTGGGGATGGACCTACTCCGTTCAACCTGCTCGACATCCCGTTCCATCAGTTCCTGGAGTTCTTGATGCGATTGATGAGGCTGAGACTACACCGGAGCGACGTACAACTTCGCTCCCACCGAGCCGTGTTGCCAAGATCTTGTCGCCAAAGCCCTTATGATGTTGCCCAACGACTTGGTCTCAATCAAGCTGATCATGCCAAGTCCAACAGCGTGGATCGTCATCCTCTCGGTCCGAGTCACTGAGAGGCGTGAAGCTGCCCTGCGTTTAAGGTCACACCCTGTTGATGTCCCAACTCAATCCGCTGGGTCCGGGCTCAGCTCCAACGCTCCAATGTCCGAAACGGAACCGCCGGCAGCGATCAGCTGCCCTCGTCGCTGGAAACGGGGGAATTCCACTTACTGATGCAATCGTGCCCGCATTCGAGCCACAACGAGATCCAAGGGTGCAAGGCTGAGATTCAGGGCTGCAGAACCGAGATCCGGTCGTGCAGAGAGGATGTCAACGCGTGTCCTTGCCACCGCACGGAGAATGGGCCACGCGCACCCCCACTGACGAAGCGCCCAGGGGCCGGCAAGAAGCTAAGGCCGGGTGGTGAGCGACTGGCGGCTATATCTTCCGCCCTAGACGGGTCGGAGCGATGATGGCTTCACCCCGGCGCTGGGTGGTGTTCTCCGCCCTGAACCGCTGATCCGGTGTTGATCATGCTCCTGCTGCACCACTGCCGTGCGTGCTGGAGATGGCCCCCCTGGCGAATCTGAGTGAGACCATGACCGCGCTAGAAGTGCTGGGCGGGCCGTAGCCGGGTCTCACACCAACTTTTGCGGATAATCATTTTCCCACACGCATCTTTGTCTCGTCGCTTCCTCTATATATATATATATACATGTCGAGGTGCGGCGATCCAGACAGGATCCCCCTCCCATTGCCACCGTTCTTCTACAATGCTTGAATGGCACGAGAGCTTGGGGCCGTGGGCTACCGGTACTAGGAGGTGCTAGGGTTCTTCAGCGTGAACTGCTTGGGCTTGGTTGTGAGTTTAACTTTCTGTTAAAACCCTCTAGGCCCCGTGCCTAAATTGGGAAGCTGTTCTGAGGTCTGTGTTGGTGTTGCTTTCCAAGTTCCATTGATCGCCATTTGGCTCAAGACACAATTGAGGTTCAAGATCTGATGTGTAGCTGCATTCATACGTGATCGGCATTGAGAGCGGAAAACACTTCGCTTGCGCTGCATTTGTCAGGACCACTGTGTAACTATCATTCCTTCCCCCTTACAACGTTTACACGGGTTCGGCTATAACGGCATCGTCCGTATACACCTTTCCACGTGGTTGGTATTACAGCTGGAGGGTTCGGTGCATAGCGTCCCACGGGACGTCACCTTGCCGTCTCTTGACAGGTTATCAGCCGTATCTACAAGCTCTACACTGGACAGAGAGACAGCTGGTTTATTGCGGGTACAGGGACAATAAAGGAACGATAACCTACACAGTACAATGGCATCTTCAGCGAGCCCAAGTACTGCAACTTTTGGGAACAGCAGCTCAGAGGGATCCAATGGATTGATGGCTCTTCCTGCGGTGATGGATATGATCGCAGATTCACAGGATGAACCTGGGAGCGGAGGTTCCGCGCTATTCAGCGACATATCCACTCCCACAAGATCATGGAAGCAGATCGATGTTCATCAGGAGTCGAAACAAAGAGAATCCCCACCGAGAAGATCATCATCTTCGCCTGCAACACCACGGACGTCGCAGAAGGGCGTGAGATCGACATCGAAGGGTGGGAGATCAAAATCACCCACCAGTGCGGAGTTTCGCGCCGCGATCAAGGAAAAGAACAAGATGGAGGTGGAGATCGGGGAATACCAGAAGACGCTTGATGAGATGTCGGCAGCAATGGCTAATCTTCATCAAGAAGACTATGGAAGCACCATCCGGATCCAGGAGCTGGAAAGACGATGCGAGATTGCCAGCAAGCAGTCGGGACATCTAGTGAGTCACCACCAACACCACATGGCTGAGGCATGGCGCAAGTTTGAGGAAGAAGCCCAACAGATGCGCAAGGTGGAAATGAACGCATTTCAGTACGGGGAAAAGAAAGACATGGAGTCGAATATTATAATGCAACAGATGAGACAAGCTGAAGGAACTATCATGGAGCAGAAGCGGGAAATTGCAGTGATGAAATCCTACATGGCAAGCGAGAAGTCGGCCGCGCAGGAGTCAGCTATACGTGCAAATCAGATACACCGTGAAGCTTCACAACAGATATCAGTTTATCAGCAACAAATCAGAGGCATCGAATCATCTACATCTATCGAGAAGTTCAACGAGGAGGAGATGGTCCAAAGTCTGAAGTCACAGTTGGAACACGCACTTGTCAAGCGCCCCGAGACGTACTCTATGGAGGACTCCAGGGAACAGCTGATGGCGAGACTGAATGATGTTACAGTATTCGCGGAACAAGAATCAAAGAGAGCAGATTGCTTGCTTCGTGAGAAGGAAGAGATCGTCAAACAGTATGAATCCGACGTGTCGATGAAGGACCAGATGATTGCTGTCGAAGGCGGTCATCGTCAAGATGCGATCTTGGAGTTAGCCCAGGTCAAAGAGGCAAAGCAAGAAGAACGGTGCACGATGGACGAGAAATCGAAGGAGGCTGAGTACTGGAGATTGACAGCTAAGGGGGTGTACGATGAGTACCTTGAGGAGATGCTTGAACTTC